GCGCCCACGCTCCGGGTGGCGTGTTCACTAGCTGGCTTGTAGCTTGTATGCCATCTTTGCATCCTTGCCATCGTACAATTTGCCCCTCCCTCCTCTATATGGTCAAGTTCAGTCATCATAGGTAAGTATTATCTCCACTGTTTTAACAGTGTGACAGGCACCAGTGTTGGGTTGTGGCCCGGTTGCCATGGTTACCTCCTTGCTGGGGGATATACTCGCGTAACCGGACCCCGCACTGGTACCTAGCCCAAACTTATTAGTTGATGAGTTTTAAACATTGAAAAAACACAATCGATAATCTGATGATGGTAAAAATATAAATGATACAATCAAAATACAGTCTGTTCAGACAAAAGTTAGTGCTTCTGTACTTTGGTACTGCACAATGAAGTCCTTTCAGTTGCCAATGTAAATACATTCATACTCATCTTGTACTCTTGATGAAAATTTTTTCCTTTTACCACAGTTTTCATTGATATGTGCTGTCAATTGAGACAATGGTTTTGACAAAAAAAAATCAGGCAAACCAATGCCATTGATCAGAGTGTAAAGGTACTGAATAGTTTATTTGATTGACAGTAGTATTATATTGCTTCATTTCCCTGTCGCAATGGTTGTCCAGATCAGCATGTAGCAGTGAAGACAGCTGCGATCGTATACAGAATTTAATGTCATTCTTATTCTCTTCTAATTTGTCAAAGCTTCATTCATCATACAAAACAAATATGCAAAATTTGTAAAGATTCTATTTATATGTGGTTGATTATTTGTGTATTGTATCTTTTTCACCTGTGAGGAATATCTTAAGAACATTTTCCATGCTTCAACTGGAAAGTCAGTCTGGCATATTTATTATTTGTGTATTAAATAGAATTTGAAGAGTTGCTTAAGTCTCATGGCCTGATATTTTAATATATTACTAACTAGCTATTGCTTACCCAGAATCAAAGACTTTATGTAGCTGGGTTCTAGCATAAGCTGTTTATTTTCATTCATTGCTAAAACACATTTTATTTGGCAAAAAGAGACGTCTGTTGTACTGGTTCATCCTATACCTTGCAGTCATTAGAACAATGCAATTGAAATCAAGGGAAAGTGACCATCACTTTTCTTTTGCCACTTTATGGGAACAGTAGGGTCTTTTTACCGCATTTCCCATTCCAAAAATTCTAATATCAAGCACTGTGCAAGAGATATTTAGTCAACAGCTATTTCCAAAAAGGTAGCATGTTGCACACCAAACCCAAACTGCACCATCAGACAAGAATCCAATCAACATAACGTCACAACATGAAATTTTCGACATGCAAGGTGCAGTAATCTTTTTGAAATAGTTATATTTTCATTCATGAGTAGCTAATCCTAAAGAGCTTTTTCACTCAGGTGATAAGGCAACCACATTGGTGTGCCAAACATTAGAAACTTTCTGCACAGTTCTTGCATTAAAATAGAGTTCAGTTCCCAGGATAGAAAATGTATTGTTTTGGTATGCCAACATGTCCACTGTGATGTCACATAAAAATGCTTTAGTGAGCTTTCCTTCCCAATGCCATAGCAGAGATAAAATAGGAAGGAAAGCCAAAGGAAAGCAAGATTATAATGAAAAGACTATGATGTTCTTTGTATAACAATAAACAAAAGGTATAGTGTTAAGGCACCAGTGTAGCAAAATGTTACCTTGCTCTTACTTCCTTCTTTCTTCATTCCTTGCATCTAGTTAGGCCTTGAACATTGACAAACGAATCTTTTTTCTCCCAAAATTGGGAAATTACACAACATTACCCCCAGACCCCAAAATATAACAAGCTTCAAAAACAATTAGATAATTCTTTATTATCATAATTTCCAATCAAATTACATAAAAAAGTGGTCATTAATGACCATAAATTTAATGGATAAAGAGCAATTTAAAAATTGTCGACAACAGTTTTAAGACTTGGAAACAGAACTACCAGCCACATGCATGGCACAAAATAATGAATTTCCTTTAAAAGTTTTAAACCACAGGATACTTCCATTCCTTCATTATATGACAAGGTTATCATTCTTATCAAGATGTTCCTTAAGTCTTGTCGTAATTGGAGAAACCCTAAAATATATTTTATCAATAAAATCTGTGGTTTTCATCAAGATGATATCTTATGAAGAGCCTAAAATTCTCAACAATAATTGTTCATTATCTATAGTTGCAATACTCTATTTTTAGTGTTGAGAAAATGTTTTTCTAATAGTGAACTAGAAGCCTTGGACATTTTGAAGTCTTAAAACTGTTGCTTTACCCAAATATATTAGATGAATGATTTGATATTTTTGAACACTGCACACTATATTCATGTAATTAAATTCTATGGGTGGTAAACTATTTGTTAAAGGTAGAAAAATATAAGATGATAAGCAATTTGATGCTAGTTTACAACAGCATCAACAATAGCTTAGCTCAAATTCTTTACCAGCCTTCAGGAATGCAGCTCAGGAAATGGTTCCTGACAGCAAACAAATTTACAGGAAATGTTCTCCTGGCAAAGACCCAGTGTCACCTGATGGGACAAGGTTAAGGTCAAAAGCATGTGTGTACATAATGTCAGCTGGTACCTCGCTCCTGTTACTGGTAACAAGTTGGAGCTAACCTCAAACAATCTATAATTGAATATCACAAAGGCAGATCAAATCTGAATTTATCAAAACAGCACTTAATGCTATAACAATAATGAATATCTAAACAAATGGAAAAAGTTTTATACTAATAAATTTTCATAACAGGAACTACTAATACTAAAGGACTATTTTGAATTACCAACAAAGTTGGCTAAAAGATCTACTATTGAGCAGATAGCAACACAGCTCTAGGAGTTACCATGTGCTCTAAGGGTGTGGCTAATCATACTGATGATTGCACCACACTGACAATATTATTCTAAAGACATACAGCATTCATAGAAAAATATCATAAACCTTGGGCATTTGTTTAATTTCGTGTATTAACGAATCGTGGAGAGTTATTTTATAACGCTTTTTAGAGCGCTTCTATTTTAGTTTGTTTCTATATAATACTCTGGTTAAAAAAATCAGGCATTGGCCATTACTGTTTCTCAAAATAGAAACATATTCAGCATAATTAGATTCTTTTGTGTTATCTCTGATAACAGAGAGAAAAAGCTTTATGAGTTATTCCAACTAAAAGTAGTAGGAGTAACAATTCGATCGAGACATAATTTCATGTCTTCTTGTTGCTTTGAGGGAAACGTTACAACTAGATAATAATAACTCCTGGAATTAAAGGAAAAAATCACTTCTTCCTAGTAAAGCATTGCACAAATGTCCACTATAAAGCATTTCTATCTCAAGTTCAAAAGTGTTGACAAGTGAGAACAAGTTGTCCAAGCTTAGCGTAGCGTTGTTATAGAGCATCTAACTATGCTGCGTTTACAGAACTTCGATAACGTTTCTATGGAAAACGATCAAAATCAGTTTTTCATTTAAAACATTTACCTTAACGAAAAAGGTCTTAAATGAATCATTTTGAGTAACAATAGATCATTTGTGTTGTGAGTCCATACAACGTGGTGGCAAACACTTTGAAAATTTCCAGGCACTAATTTCGAATCTAACTCATCAGGAACAACACCATCTTTGCAAAATATTACCACAGTAATTATCCAACTAAAAACTGCAATAGCGTCATGGTTTTAGATTCGAAAGGAAATGAAATTCGTAAACGCAGCAAATTATATGCTAACGCTTTCAGATGAAAACACCTAAGTGAAGCTTGGTTCATTAAAAAGTTAACACCTCTGTTCTACCAAATATGTAGCGGCTTGTTTGTGCTTTGTTTTACAGGACAGTGTATAAACATTCCGCGTTAAATATAGTGTCCCATTTGTCCCAAAAATATATTACTCATTTGAATATTTCTTCATAAATAATCATGAATGAAAATATACGATAAATAAAATTCCTTGACGTGTTTGTATTCGCAAAGTATTAATTCTGTAGTACTATTTCGATACGCCCGTTAAGGCTACGCATTTACTTTAGCCAATCAAATAAATATTTAACAAAATCCATAAAGATTTTCCATTATTTTCTCTTTGAATGTCATTCTTTTGTGGTGATTTGAAACGGAGATTAAAGTCGAAAGAATACCAAATTCTTCAACAAAAATGAATTGTGTTTTGAGTCACTTGTTCAGTCAAATGGCTCGAGTAATCTTCAAGAATAAATGATTTTAACTTACATAGGATTTGAAAATCCTTAATCTTGTAACATCAAGGAGAAGAAAAAAACTAACAAAACTTTGAAAACAGAAAGAACTGCAAAAAAAATCCATACTTCATAACGAAATTGGAGACGAGCTCAACTATAGTTGAGAAGTATGAATGAGGTTCAAAACATATTCAATAAGTTGATAAAATAAAGGATTAATTAAGCATAATTTTATAACTTATTCACATATTATCCTCAGAAAAACAAACAGGAATATTTCGTGGGGAAAATGCGTTCAAGTACTTAATTTGCTAAGCTAGGATTTGACATATCTATTAGTCCTACATAAACATCTATAAACATTTATAAACATCAAAATACCTGGATACGGTTGTTACCAAAATCTACAGCTACTATAAGTCCATCAGGAGTAACACAGATACCTGATGGTCGATCCAGGTGTCCCAGTGCATGTCCGTGGCTGCCAAAACTACAGAGGAAGTTACCATTTGGTTGGAAGATCTGAATTCTGTGGTTCCTTGAATCAGCAACGATGATATTCCCCTCTTGGTCCACGCACACTCCTTGGGGTCGTACAAACTGAGCAATCCCGTTCCCTTCTGAGCCTAGAAACTGTGCACTCTTACAGTCTCCTGAGATGACTAGCAAGCGATGGTTGTTGAAATCTGTAACGATCATCCTTCCATCATGGGTAAAGGCCACGCCACGGGGAGAATCGAAGTGCTTCCAGCGTATACCCTCAAAGCCATACTTGTTAATAAACTTACCATCATGTGTGAAGAGCTGGACTCGATGGTTGCGAGTATCAGAAACTAAGATGTTTCCTTCACTGTTCACGGCTACGTCCCAGGGGTAGCTAAACTGCCCATTCTTGCTGCCTTTTTCTCCAAACTTCAGCTCGAACGTACCGTCCACTTTGAAGACCTGCACCCTATGATTGTCCTTATCTGCTACTATGATTGTTCCCCTTTCATGATCACAAGTCACCCCTGCCGGCCGATCGAATTGACCGTTGCGAGAGCCTGCAGAACCGAACTTGTGAACAAATTTCCCGTATTTATCAAAGATTTGAATCCTATTATTACTACGATCAGCTACAATAATGTTGCCATCCTTGTCGCAGCAAACACCCCAAGGCCTACACAACTGTCCACCAGACTCACCCTCAGATCCAAACGAGAGTAAAACTGGCCCAATGCCAGTGTAATTCCGACCTTTCTTTATCTCTACATGGAAAGGAGAATCCTGAATGTGTTGCCCACGAATTGTCACTGAAATTATATGTTGTCCCTCGATTTGAGGTTTATAAGTTACGACGTATACCCCGTTTTGACGATCGGAGACTTCCCCTGGGTAGAACTTCCCATTAGGTCCTTCGACCACTACATGTACTGGGTCCCCACCAATACCTCGATTTTCGTTATGGTGATCTCTAGTTTGAACTAAAAACGTCACTTCTTTATCGCATACTCCTCGGCGTAGACCCTCACCACTGCCAAAACATAAAGGAGCAAACGCACTGCTACTTACGATTCCCAGTGAGCTGATTGCTGTTTGTAGAGCCAAATCGGGAGGTGTGAATACAATGGAATCATCTTCATGAGGTTGTAGTAAACCACGCTTTGAACGCAATTCGTTCAATGTTTCAGTCAATCGTGCTTTAACAGCCAACATATCTGGATCGGACCCTTGTTCTAGAGCCATCTCAGACCCTTCGGTAACACTTAGAACTTTGGATAAATATGTTTGAAGTTGTTCTATCTGCATCTGTAAGGACTTCCCTTTAACTTGCCTCACCTTTTCAACTCGTCGTAGGAGATCTCTTTCTCGTTCCTCCAAAGCCAGTTTATGCCTTCGGGTCGTTGATCTGATTTCTTTGCACAAAACCTGAGCTTTATATTCAACTTGTTCTAATGTTCTCTTCGATATACTAATCGCTTCTTCTAGGTTTTTAGCCTCGATTCTTGAGTCTTCTATAAGTTTGCCTACAGCTCCTCGGGTAGTTTCGGCTACGTCACGTAGATACACAAAGTTGTGCCCTCTGTGATCGCTAAACATACATTCTCTACAAATCGGTTGGTAGCAAGTATCACAGAAAAGCCGTAAAAATTCATTCTCGTGGATTTCACAAAGAGATAAACCATTCGATGATGCTTGTTCCGGTTGTAGTGTCGAAGCCATAGATTTACGCGAAGACGTAGTAGCACCGATCTCCTCTTCGGAACTTTTCACCGTCATTTGTCCTTGAAGAATCGCTCCCTCCATCAGAGAAACAATTTTATGATCTTTAGTGAGTCGGACTCTAAGATGAGCTCGAACGCAATTTTCACAAAGATATTCTAGGCAGTCTTTGCAGTATGAGGTCACCCAAGTTCCTTCCCCACAGTTGCTACAATCGCGTATCACAGCTCGAATTAAACTACTGCTATCGACAATGTCTTCTTGTGGAGTGAATACATTGAATATATCTCTACTCAAATACGGTGAAGGCTCATGAAATTCATCTAAAGGGTCCTCGCCATCATCTCGAAGATGAAAGTCTCTTTGGCACTTCGGGCATTTCAAATTCAAACGTCCATCCAAATCGCGGTGTAACGCTTCAGTCAAACACTGCTTACAGAAAGTATGTAAACATGGTAGAACTTTAGGGTTTTCAAGTCCATTTAAACAATTTGGACACGATTCTGGATCCCGATACAGATGACTAGATCCCTCCGCCATTTGTGAACATGTGAAACGCATTGATCCTCCGATTCCCGCGCTACGATTTCAAGATCTCGGTGAGCTTTGCCGGCCAACTACATATAGTTCAAATGATACGTGAGCACATGTGAATGATGCTGACCAAACTTGTTCGACGAAGCGTCAATCACGATTCTACGGCTTTCCCTCTGAAGTTGAGAGCCTTTTTCTTGGACCAATCAGATCGCTCCGTTGGGTGGGGTACAACCAAATTCACATGGTCATGTCTTTGTTTAGTAACACAGAAAACTGTCAATCAAGACAAAAACTGTATGCTAGCCAATCAAAATGCTTCATTGACGCAGTTTTAAATAGCTCGTTGACTTACACATTGTTCTGTGCATGCTCAATTTGGAATAAGGAGAAGTTGTAAACAGTCTTGCCTTTACCAAGGTCTTGGGTCGAAGGAGATCCAAACAACAACAAAAAGACATGCAAAAAGGCATTAAGTGTGGCGAACGGTCATATGAGCTTGGTCTCTTTTTTCTTCGTATTTTTCCCGAGGTGTGAGGTCGATCGATCAAAGGAAGTTGGATTGGGCATCCTAAATTAGATAACGTGTTCGAGAATCGCTCGAGCAGGCATATTATCTCAAAGCAGAAATTGAAAAACCGCCTCAACATTGGCCTACGAGACCTTTCTTGTGCCTTACCCAATACAAAACATTGTCGTGCTCTGATGACCGAACAAAGACAACATAATAAGCATAGTTGTTTGGCGAAATGCCATGACTAAAGAAATAAACTTTCTTTGGCACTTCCGGTCGTAATCGAGTGTTTTTTCAATGCGTCACAACAGGGGCTGTTTACGACCAACTTAGCTGTTGCACAACTACGTCACGTGTACTGCCTTTTAAAACACCTTGGCCAAGAAACAAGGATGTTTTATGTCAAACAGGAAAGCTTTTCTTATCTTCCACAACTCAATCATTAAAGAATCCAATAGTATGTGCGTAAATATTTCAAGAATCGGGGGAAAAAACTGATGGTCGCAGAATTTCGATAAAATTCTTTATGAAAGTAGTTAAACGTCAACAAAAATCCTCCTTTTCGATTTCTGCTTTGATTATGATGCTGTTTACGCGCGCCTACTCAGAAATAAGCCGTTTTGTACGCAGTTCTAATGACCTGTTTTGAGTATGTTTTTAGCCAAGAAATCCCCATCTATAATAGGTCTCCCGGTGGGCTGTAATCTTAGCCGAAAATACATACCGACGGAGGACGACAAAGGTAGCGCTGCTTCATATTTACGTTTAGAATACCGTTTTAAAAAAGGTCAACAGCTTATGTATTTCAAACAATAGCATTAGAGCCATAATCACCTCGCTAGAATATTCATTGTGTTCTTGTCCTTGTTCATCTATCGGCCTGATTGGTCTAAAGAATAATCGCAGTCAATGAAGAGGTCATACTTTGTATGTCATTCAACAACGATGTGTTGAGTAATTTTACTGAAAATAGAATGATATTTGGAAATATATAAGACAAACTAGTTTTTACTGTTTTAATTGTATTTTTTCCTTATTAATTGCTTCATATTCATTGTACTTATGTGAAGCTTATGAACAGTGGTAATCAACAAATTAACATAAAGCTTTTAGTTATTATAAAACGAAAAAAGCCACTACGTTTTGCTCAGTTGGTAAGTATTTTTTCAAAGAAAAAACGGATTTTCACTGTATTTCGACGAAAAAGTAAGCGGGTTGCATTTTTCAACTTGTACAATTCAGCTATAAAGCACATTTATAAAGTTTCTTTTCGGGTCCCATTTGACACCATCTTGTTTTGCGCCAACTTTAATAGTCACTAAATTTTCAGAGTATTTTTTACCGGTAGCAGTGTAACGTACTAACTGTTTTGTTTTTAAAAGAACAAAACAGGGACGGATCCGGGGGGAGGGGGTTGCAACTCCCTATGAGAATTTCGATTTCTTCTTAAACAGAATGTACTGTTCGGTTTGTTTTCGTTTCTTAGTTTTAATTATTTTTTTGTTTTTGTTTGGCGTCTTGTACAAGTGTAGTGGATGCCCCTTGAACGCAGAACCCCCATTCAAAAAAATCCTGGATCCGCACGGCTGCAGGAGCAATTTCTAGGGATTCTATTTGTTTTCTAGCCCGTAGTGGGGCCGACAACGGGTTCACACGAAAGCAAGTAGATAATTTTATTTTATCCCTCCAAAATTATTTGTTACAGTAGCTATAGTAAGGTCGATCCTGAGTGCAGACAACGAGCGGATCAATGCAGATATTAAGAGTAGATTTATATTATTGGGACTGTAGGCGTCCTGGTTGGGGACGGGGCATTGGGGTGCGGATTGTTCGTAGTTAGATTACTAGCGTTCGTTTCCGGTAGGTAGACTGATGCTCATACCGGGGAGTGTTTATGACAACACTTCGATTAAAGTTACAAAGTAGATTATAAAGTACAGCTGTCGTGGGTTCATTCGGCTCCAGTTATTTTATCTCATAACGAAGAATGCCACAAATTTAGTCTTTGCGCAACAAGTCTCAAGCGCAAAGTCTTTTTTCATCATTGTCAAGTGTGCTTACATGCGGTCGATGAAGAACAGGGGTTCTTACCGTTTACCCGGAAAAGCAATAAATCTGGTTGGAAAAACAAATAGTATTCATTTCGATCTGAAAGCTCCGGAAAACCTCAGTTTTCCGATTGTGATCCCATAACGACTATAAATTTATGTTGCTCCTGAATCTATCTACTTTTCCCGCTCTTTTCGGTTGTTTCGGTAGACTGAATAGAGGTTGGGTGCCTTAAAAGATGGCCGTTTAATGGAGGTTCTACTTTACAGCCCCCATAAAAAGACTATCATAGGCTGAGTGGATCATAATCTTGAAATAATTGATTCATTTAGCTTTGTCATCGAATATATATATCGTCTTTATTTTCCTTCTATTCCTTCTTATTTAAATATTCTAGTTCTATTCTATATTGTTTTTTTTCCCAACGTTTAAATCCCAATGTAATCCAATTATTCAGAAAAATAACCAAGAAACGTTTCCGTAATTCAGTATAAGTTCAAACTAAAAGTAAAACCTATTGTAATCGGTTTTTCGTGTTTTGTTTTCCTTTTCGCCTTCCGTTTCTAATAGAAAATATGAGTCATCTGCTTTCAACAGTCACGAGACGATGGTGAGGAAGATGATATCATTGCTTCATAATTACCATAACAAAAGAACCTCTAAACGGGAAACGATCATAACATATATAAAAAAATCTTAAGATAGAATCTTTATTAAGAATGTTTTCGAATCAAACCGGACTTTTCCTTTGATTTATCGAGTTATTTTACTGAACCAGTGCACATGCGTGAGATTAGGTTAGTTCCCTTCCACGAGCTCACGAGATAATATTCAACATGGCGGCGAAAGGAATGATTTTGCACCAGATATGAAGTGTAACTTTTTTTTTATCTTCCTTTCTTTTTTTCTTCTCGTCTTTCTCTTTCTTATTCCTATTTCTTTCCTTTTTCCCCACCCTATTTCTTCTTCTTTTTTTTTTTTTTTTTTTTTTTTTTTTTTTTTTTTTTTTTCTTTTTTTCTCTTTTTTTTTTTTTTTTTTTTTTTGTTCTCTGTTTATGTATATTCTTTATGATGTATTTCGATTTGACCGACGACTATTATTCTTTCCATTGCATTTTTTTTCTATTCGGTTATTGTACCTGATTATAGTTGAAGTTCGACCCCCGAAGTTAGATGTCTCTTTCGCAGACTAACATTTCAACGACCGTCAATCAAAGACTGAACTGCAATAATAAGAAAATATATAGAGAATTCTTTTCATATTCAGAGCAGTGATCGCCAAAAACTATTTTCTACAAGGCTAAAATCTCGTTATTCAGAAAGTTCAACTTGTTTGGAAGTGGAGATGACCGATGAAAGTGGAATCAAAGTGTTAACCCAAAGCAAAAAAATGAATCGAAGATGAGGTTTAGGCCTTCATTTGCTTATTTCCCATATATTTTCTATAAAAAAAGCCTGCAAAGCAACATTCTTTCACAAATGCAACAAAACATCTTTGTACAATTGAAAATACCGCTTCACACAGGCATTTTATCATAATACATCAGTTTCTAAATGTTTAAAAAAGGTTTTGAGTGTTAACCCAAAACGAAAATTGGATCAAAACTCATACGAAAGTCTAGTTTTTGGCGCTTTTTGCCATTATTGCTCATTATTGAAAAAAAAACTTTTCCTCGTAATATCTTGAGGAAGATCACTACGTTTCGGTAAATATTCCGCCGATATTCACTTCGACTTTGGCGAATAATCGTTAAATAACACTAATTTTATTTAGCCCGTGAAACAAAGCTGTATAATTAGTGACTAGTGAATTAGTGTCTACTAATATGTATTACCGACATTGACTATTCTTTCACGGGCGAAGTAATATCCCTCTATAAAAATAAAAAAAAATCTTGCATGTGACGTCAAAGCAGCTCAATTTGGAGGACAAAACAAAAGAATTTCAATCTCATGAAAATTGGACACCGATTGTAAGTTATGCTCACCTCGTGGTCAATGCATGACATATCGTAGAATATCGCACGCGTCACTTGTGTAATTAAGTTCTTTATGCACTTGTGACCGTCAGTGAGGCGAGTCATTAGAGAGAACGAAGTACGCGTGGCCGGATATAACACGGTATGTTACTCCAGACAACAATACAACAACTTTGGCTGTCGTTAAGGGTTTCATATATGTATAATAGTCAATATCGGTTGTTTTATTCTGCTTTACGATATAAAAAAAAAAAAAAAGAAGAAAGGAAATGTTCCAGTGCACATATACTTTGTTTCCTCAAAAAGACCCCTATGTTGCAAACCGAAGTTTCGATCTATCACAGCGCTCACAGCATCTCACAGCAGCCAATCAAACGAGATTAATAAGTAAATCTTACTTTTTTTAGCGCAACACGGCAGTTAAGCAGCCATTACAAGTATCCTGTGAGGGATTTTTAATGTGCGCCCGCCGTGAAAACAACCTCCAGGCTGATCTAAGCAAAAAGGGAAAAAAAACTTCAAATAAATCGATATCCTCAGTGAAACAAACTCTGAGGTGATCAAAGTAAGGGCATGTCTACATCACAATACATATCAAATTGGAATTTAGCATGTCATTAAACGAAAACAAGAATATTTAGAAAGAAGTGTTGGAATATGCAAATAACTCTCTATAGTGGAGCAATAAGAGAAGGTAAAGGAATGAACGGCTATCCACTTTCCTCTCTCCAATCCCCAAAGTTCCGCAAAGTGCTGCTAATGCATGTCTCCAACCCTCAGCCTGCTTCCTCTTTCTGTTGGCTCATTACGAGAATAATGCACTTACATCTTAACTTATATTCGATTCTCCTCGAGCAATCTGTTCGCTATCCACTACTATCAACATACATGATCTTATTTCGGCGGTTGAGACAAAACAACCCTTGTCCCTTTTGAGGAGAGCGATGAAAGTTAGAAAGACTGCCTCCCTCGCGAAGCCTGCCCATGTTTAGGCGCCAACACGACCACATGTTCACTGGCAGATATATTTATGCCTTACACAGTTTCCCGCCATTTCCAGCCTACGTAATCTTATTTTTGACGATAGTCTAGGGATATCTCAATAGACGTTTATGTTCCTGATGTCAGGGTGGTGACTAGGGAAGTGGAATCAGGGATCACGTGCTTGGAATGGTGATCACAATACTACGAATCAGGAATCACGTGCTTGGAAATTCAAAGTCAAGGGATTGTTTATGGGATTAGGGATCAAAATACGTGAGTTTTTAATTTGGGATCATGGATCGAAATTTCGTGTACAAATTTGGGTTCAATCACAAAAAACATCCCTCGTCACAACCCTTTTATGTGGTCCCTCAAGTGACCTTCCGTAACCATTCTCAACTCTAGGTTACCTAGGTCAAGAAAGTCTTATGAATACATAAGGTACCCGGTAAGGTTTTATAGTGAATCATAAAACGTACTATTTTGTAATCAAGGTGTTGATGGATTGATGAATAAATATAACCGGCCTTGTACTTGTTTGACCTTCAATAGGTCTCCTAGGTGGTCGATGTCTCTTAAAAAACAAATCTAAGCCAATATTAAAAGTTACTTTAGTTGTGCTTAGATAGAGTGAAGGCATTTAACCCGTGAAATAAAGAAATCCTAGTACGTGTAATAGTCAAATAGACATAAAAGAAAGCAATGGAATTAAGGTCTACTAAAGTGTATTATTCTAATATCTATTTATTG